TTGATTGAATGATTGATTGATTGGTTGGTTGGCTGAACGAACAAACGCACCAACGAATGAGTGGATGCATGGACATGGACGGGAAAAGGCTTGAATGAGCTAGTGAAGAAGCAAGGAAGGAAGAGATAAATGAAATACATACATAACGAATGAACTAACTAGTGGGTGGATGGATGCATGAATGGGTGGGTGGATGAATTAGGGCTGAGCGAACGAATGTATTTTGGTGTATGTGTAGTTATATGCCATCCCCCTCTCACACAGAAAGGTCATGTCATGATTTGAAGTCGGAAGCCTTGGCATCCTGAATAACGCGAACAGCCCAAACCGATGACGCAATATAGCATCTAGCACTTAAGGGCGGGCAAGCGGGCGGGATCAAGCTTGTAAATGCCACCCCGCTGCGACGGATGCACTATAGAACACAACATGAGCCTTATTGCTCGCTGCAGCGCCTGCAGCAACTTACACATGGACCAACAGGTGAAGAGTTTACCAGTGTTCGCAGTCTGTTCTGGCCGTATCCCTACTCACACCTCGTCTGCACATTTACGAACACTAGGGAGACTCTCCCTTCCGTGCTTTCTGAGATGCAGAAAGTGGATCCACAAACGTAGACACCGAACGGCCATTCGCACGTGTTGTGCTCGAACGCAGAGGAAATATAACCTGCCGAACAGGTGATGCTCAGTAAACCTTCCCATCAAGTAACAATAGCTGCAATTAGCTTCAGGCCTCTGCTTGCCGTCAAATGCTTCTCGTAGCAACCCGTCTCGCGATCAGAACCACCCGTCTCTGTCGAGATCTGGTAGTGCCTTAAGTCTTGCAGTGGGGCCCAGTGGGGCACACTGAGTTCGTACTTCGATCAGCCGGGTCCCAGTGTGCCCAAGTTGACATAGCTACTGCCAGGCCCCGGGATGGCAACAGCCGAGCACAAACAAAAATGAGCTACCCGTGTCACCCACTTAGTTAGTGGGTTCAGCACGGACGCTCACATGAACAGAAGGATTGCTCTTCTACATCGTATAACTGTAGAAGCCCCATCATCCGTGAGACTCCGAGCTGGCCTTGATTCAAGCGGCTTCTGTGCTTGGTGCAAGGTCTTCATCCAAGCTGCTCGCTGGAGTTTGCTGACTCCAAGTTCACCTGGCTGTGGTTCACGCTTGACCTGGCCATGGCGGCGCACCAGGAAAGCTAGACTTTGTAGGGTTTACATGGGAGCGGAAGCTTAGCAGGTCCGAGTCTGGGTTGTTTGCCATGCCTTTTGATTCATTCCATCTCTAGACTCTCTAGACTCTGAACGACAGGAAGCTTGCATCAGTGCATCTTGAGCAGCCGACTACGGCAGCATCTTGTGGCAACATCCGGCTTCAATGCTACATTGAGGCTTGGATCAAATCCCAACATGCTCCGAAAAAAAACGAACGACGAGACTTCTTGTCATGCGAGCATTCACAGTTCTTGTGCAGTGCCCCAAAGGGCCCGGCCCAAGGGGGTCCCCATGCATATGCGGCCTGTTGTAGACAGCGGCACTGGAGATACTGTTGTTCAGCTCGATGACACCCAGCACGCCCGTAGCGTCTTCGAATCGCGCAGTCAACGCACGCGACAGGTTGATGGACCTGCTTGGTGCAGGCAGGCAAGGCGAAGCGAGCACCCTGTTGACATGCTCATGAATCTGTCCTTGCACCCTTGTGCGATCCCGGTCTATAGCTACAGAGTGGAACCCATCTCGGGAGAAGTGCTGCACCCCGGCATTTTGAAGTCCGAACAAGTCCGAGGTGCGCGTTCAGAAACAAACTCTTGTTGTCCTGGCACTTGAGCGGAAATCCTATAGAGTAACTGTAGTACGGCTGGGCTGCACACAAACCTACCATGTGAAAAAACTTTGACCACAGGCATGTCTTGTCTGGGTCTCAAACATCCGAGTGTTCTAGGTGCAAGTGCTCTGCGATGCATCGTGTCTGAGTCGTTTACATCCGTAGGGTCTCAAGCCAGAATTTGCCTGCGGTCTCGTCAATGTTCGTCAATGTCTGCAACATCCTCCAACCCTGCGTGCTGCCTCTCCCCATAACAAAGACAACTCTTTGTGCGTCGGCTTTCAACCCAGCTCTTGGCTTCGGGAGCTCAAAAAACGATGAGTTGTGCAGGTCATGGTCCTCAAAGGCGACATCCACCACATTCAACCGAAAGTCTGCAAGCCTTACAGATTTCGAAGATCCGCAGGTCTGGCGACGGTTGGAGGTGAACCTATGCTCGCAAGGCAGGCGTCCCACCACCGGGCCAGTCGCAACACAAGCTCTCTCTCACGATGCAGAAAAAGACATTCAACCTGGCTATACTTCATGCGTATCATTTATCATGACAGGCCGAGAAGTCTCAACCCCTGAACCGACCGCTGCGGGTTACGCGCAATATCCGTCTACTTACCAGAATACCTGCAGCATTGTCGCCTTTTAAGACCCTCGAGTCGTCTTCCGAGTCGCCGCCCCCTGGTGACCTGTGTCGTGGCAGACAATGCCACATTGGTGCTCTCCGCGGCAATCTCGCCGGAAACCTCTGAAAGCGAGCTTTGCTGTTTCCACAGGCACTGTCGATATCAGTCAGAGGCCATAGCAGCTATGGGGCACGTTGAACACAAGTTACCACGCGCACTGGCTTCGACAGCTTCCGGGTGGCAATTGTAATTCGACCCTGCAGGAAAGGAATGCGACCATCCTTGCCTCATTGAGTGCTGTCATGACTGGCTCGTGTGCGTGTGTGTGTGTATGTATGTATGTATGTATGTATGCATGTATGTATGCATGTATGTATGCATGTATGTATATAAATATATATATATATATATGTGTGTGTGTGTGAGTGTGTTTGTGTGTGTGTGTGTGTTTGTCTCTATCTATATCTAGGAACCTGGATCTGCATCGACATCAACATTGTTGATTATGTGTATGTGTGTATGTATGTATGTATGTATGTATGTATGTATGTATGTATGTATAAGTTATATATTAGTGACTAGCATTCGCGAGTGAATGAATGAATGAATGAATGAATGAATGAATGAATGTATGTATGTATGCATGTGTACATGTATGTGCGTATAACACTGCCAACCCGGAAACCTGAGTTAACCTGCGGCAAAGCTGCCAGGCAGTCGATCTCCTGGCCACTTCGGAGGTGAAGCTGCGATTGGACCTGCAGCGACAGCCAGACCCATGAGCGACTGTCACAAGTTAACGTTAAACGGTGCCTATCAGTGCTCAACCAGGACACATCGACAGTGCTATGGTTTCTTCGCTAGCCAATGTCGGGCTCCACACGGGCTCTGTACAAGTATGGTCCGGGTGATCATGTCGCACTGAGGCGTAAAGCAGGCGTGAGCAGAGATCGCTCAAATCTGGGATACAGCAGGTGATGGCACAGGCGACATCCCAGGGCATCAGTCAATCCATCCGTAGTGACCAACCTTTTCGCAGTGAATTTCAAAATCACGATGGTCGAACGGACTCCCAAGAGTGATCCAGCTATCGCAGGGACCACAGAAAATGGCCTTACCATCACTCCTGCGAGCCCCGGCACACGGATGTTGCCAAGACTCATCCCAGGCCAAGTTCACTTTCTGCAGCGCATCTTGGGTGAGATCTGGCTCCCTCGACGGCACAAGAGCCTGACTGCACTCCGGTCTGCGCGGCTCTTCGGCTGGCTGTCGGTTGCCTTTGTCAGCTTGCGCCGGCTTCCTGCGCTCTGCCTCTGCCTGTGCTTTCTGCTTGTTTTTTGCCTCCTTCTGGGCTTTGAGTCGATCTGCCATGGCCTGCTTTCCTCGTTCCTGTGTGGCACGCCATGCCGGGTCCACTGGAGCTCGCTGTTCAGCTGGCGGACGTGAGTGTGGCTCTTCCACACGAGGTTCTTGAGTCACCTTGTCAGAAGCTTTCGTGGCAAAGAAATCATCGAACCATGCATCCTCTTCATTCTCCTTGTTCTCTTCGGAGCCCTTCGGATCAACTTGGATCGCTGGACTCTGCGCCTGGTCGGCAACCACGTTACGCTCGGAAGCAGTCTTGGGTGCTGTCGGTCTTGTCTTCACGATGGCTTCTGAACTGCCTTTGGCTCTTGCCTTTGTCAAAGCCAAGTTGCTTGGCAAACACTGGAGCGGCACCCCCAAGTCCAAATCCAAAGAAGCCAAACTTGTGGAGTTGGAGCCAACCAGGAAGATGCCCCGGCAAAACAGGCGGGGCAAAGCGCTGCCAAAGCCGTGTCCTTTACACATCTGCAAGGCTGCGGCGCGCAAATCACCCAGCGTCGAACCCGGAGGCAGCTGGAGCTCGACTTCACAGACTCCGGGGGCCTCTTGGGTCTCATTTTGCTGGTCAGGCACGAGCAAACGTATGAAGAAGGGCTCCTCAAAATTGTCTTCGAGCAGGGCTGCCTGGACAGAGTCCAGACGCTGCCCAAGTGCTGTAGGAAGGTCCTGAATGGCCTGCAAGAGCGCTGCACACTGGTCTTGAAGATCCTCAGAAGGTGCGGCTTGTAGAAGCGGGTAGTTGACCTGCATGGCCACGACAGACATCGTCGTAGCCGAATCCACAGCCCCGGCGGCACACAGAACCTCTGAACCTTGTTCAAGGAATCGCCGGAAGATGCGATGCGCTTTTTTTGGATCATTCTCTTGGAGCTTGCTCACCTCCTTCTTGTTGAAGACCTCCACAAAGGATCTGAGTTGGCGCACAGCGTCAGATCCCGAGCTTGCAGTCTGGCTTCTGGCAATCTCTTCCGATAACTGGCTGGCGCGGCTCCACATGTCTGCCAACTGCCGGTGAAGCTTCCGTCTTGCAGCCTCAAACTTGCCCCGATGGAAGTCCTGATTCTGCAAGTTCTCGGGCTCAGCATCGTCATCTTCTGAGCGTCGGGGGCGCTTCTTGCGTTTGGGAAACATCTTCCGAAACTCTTCGTCAGCATCCCAGCTATCATCAGAGAATTCCGAGTCCTCCTCATCCGCCTCCCCCTCCTTGTCCTTCCCTTTACTCTCCGATGGTTTCTTGTCCTTCTTGCCAGCCTCCGATTTCTCTTTCTTGCCCTCCAGCTCGTATCGCTTGGGCTCGACTAAGAGATCGCGCATTTCCTGCAGCAATCGGAACCGCTCGGCATCACCGCCTTTGTCTGGGTGAAGCTCCAATGCACGTTTCTTGAAGGCTTTTTTGATCTCTTCTTGGCTCGCCTTTCCTTCTCCAGCCACGCCCAAGAAGGACCATGCTGCTCGGCGCTCCAGGGTCTTTAGACGTCCGCTCGCCTTCTCGCGCCAGTCTTGCATGGCATGGACTTCCTCTTGCAGGGCCTCGTTGCTCAGTCGCTGCAGGCGCTTCTCCAAGGCCTTTTTTCTGCCAGTGAGCTCCTCGATCAGGCGCTTTGGGTCCCATGCGCCGTACTTCATCTCCATGTCAATGCGGTCAAGGACGCCTCCCTTGGCCACCCGTTTTGGGTGGCAAGAATACTCCAAGCATCCCTCCTCCTCAATGCCGGAGACTCGACCAAGCAGGGGCAGCACAACAACGCCCGGCCCGAACAGGGTGACCGCCTTGGCCACGTCATGACGGGCGTGCCAGATTAGAAGATCGATTGATCGACTGGAGGCTTGAAAGCTGTCATCCTTGCTATCTTCGTGAAGTACGAGGGCACTCTGAGGCGGCTCAGCATCAGCGACAGAGTAAGCCATGGCCGGTAATGGCCTACAACCCTGACCGGTACATACCGGCCAGAACAAAACTTCAGATCAGTGTCCGGTAGGCTGGAAATGGTAGGGATCTCGTCATGTCAAACTGGCAAACTTAGCATACTGTGTCCTCCAGCTTGCGCCATCTGTAGGGAAAGTAGTATCGACAGTCCAAGGCTGATTCACTTCCATGCATTTTAGAGCGTCCAATGTCTCTCACACATTCTATCTCACATCAACAAAAATCAATGTGTCTATATATCTGTCAATCTATCTACCATCCGTCTATCTATATGTATATACATCCGTAAATATGCAGAAGCAGACAGTATGGGAAAACTGATTCACCAACGGCGGAACTGCGGCAGTCTACACACACACACACACCAAAGTCCGCACTTGTGTGCTCCCACATGTACGAAAGGCTGAGGAGTTCCTGCACACCTGAAGCTCCGATGCTAAGCGCCTCGTAGCTGTGGCTGCCACGCATCCACTGAGTACCTCAGCAACTGATGGAAAATCCCGGTGCCAAGAAGTCTGAAGGGGCCCAAGAATCCGACCCAGGCTAGAAACTCTAACGTCCAGGTGCTGGAGGTGTTCGACTTCTTGTGTACTTGCTCGGTCACGTTTGGCACGGAATCTGGCAGCTTCCGAATCCGGCCACCTGAAATTGACCTGGGCTTCTCAATCCACAGAGGATATTCTGCTCTTCTCGGAAATGGGTGCCTTGGACCCTTTCTTCGTGAGGTCGGGTTTACAGTACGGTTTTGGTGAGTCTTTGCGGGGCTTCGGCTTCGGGAACACTTGAAAATGTACCCACTTCCTATGATCTCAAGGTCTGCGAGCTCAACGTTTTTGCGCTTCTATGTCCTGTCCACACCGCACCGTGACCAGCTTTCAATGAAGACGTCTGTCTTAGGCCTGCACCGCACCCGCATTTCTGACAAACAAATGAGATGACCAAGAAACTGATTGGCCTCCGCATGGCGCAGCAAGAGCACGGGATCGAGAAACCAGGTCCCCTGAGGGTTGTTGCCCCAAACCTGAGGTGCACGAGCCAATGCAGTATGTACCCCCCCAAGAACCCAGGATTTCGGCAAGTAGAGTCCCCGGGCAGATACTTATCAGCCATCGTACTCTTCCCACTGACAGGGAGGCCCCAGTACTTAAAGTGGTCTCCTGATTAATAACCTCCCCCCCTCCCCAGAGTCCTGAATACTAGTTGGTGGGGGGTGGGGGGGGAGGTCTAAGTTGCTGGATGTCACTAGTACAGTAGTAGTACAGTAGTAATTGGTTACAGTATTATAATAATGGTACAGTTGTCATTGCAGTAATATATACGCTATTGCAGACAGGACAGGGAGCCCCCTTAAACCTAAAGTTTGGCTGGCTTGCTATCTCTCCTCTCTGCGTCTCCTCTAGCATGTCTGTCTCTGACTCTCCTCTTCCCGGGCGTCTGTTTGTAGTAGCAGCGTCTATTTCCCAAACGCTTAAAACCTTAAAAGCGGGACGGGAATTTAGGACCGTTGAGGGGTAGAAAAATCTTGTGTGCAGGCCGGGTTTAGCTCAATTGAGGGGACCGTTCCACTATCGTGTGCGGGCCGAATGTGGCCCAATTGAGCGGGCCATTACTGATCACGAGCTCACATTCGGGTCTACACTCCAGTCATGCAGTCCCATGGATCCATAAACCTAAATAACTTGCCATTTTAAGGAACTATACAATGAAAGTTAAAGACATCATAACAAGGAGCCCGGAAAAAAGTCTCAGGCCATTATATACAGAAATGATAATGAGGAGCACTAAATACTAAAAAGGTAGGTTATTTGGCAAACCCTGAAGCTTCGAGCGGCCTGAACCGTCACGTTGTGCGCGGCCCCATCCAAGAGCCAGCTCGCAAAAGGTGTGAGGTCGAACTCATAGGGTGGAATGTCGAAAGACAGGATGCCTGAAACAAGTTTCCAGGTTTATACTGTAAAGGTCTATATAAATATAAGTCTGGGAGCCCAGGTGTATACTCTAAAGGCCTGTAGTCTTTAAAGGGTCTATAGGGGTTGGGTTCAGGGTTTACAAACCAAAACCGGACCCGAACTGCCCTCGAAGACTCCTGCTTCTGCATTCGATGAATACACGACCAAAGGATGTTTCGGCCAGAACACCTTAGACGTAATGTAGGGGCCTTAACGATTAGAATAGGGTTTTAAAGTATGTGCTATAACTATAGTAAAGAACCTCCAAAATGGTATTGGTAACTATTTAGGTCCCTATATTACAACCTGTCCAGGTGTAAGTTAGCACGACGGGCCTGTCAAAGGTCGCCAAAGAAGAGGATTGATGCCACCCGTGTAAATCACCGGGAACGGCAGCACTGCGTCGGCTAGGACTCCGTCCTTGTTCCAACTATCGCTCTTTGGAACTGCAGAGCACGCAGGCTGTCAGATTTTGCGAGGCGAGGCTGCAAAAGTGCTGCTACAAATTGGACATGCACACAGTTCTGGAACATGTCGTTGGTTGACCGAAGATTCCCTGCCCCGCTCAAACTGCACTACTTCATCACCGCCATCAATGCACTCCAGGGTGCAATATAGACCAAAAGCCTGAGCCACCGTTCTTGGAGTGTTTGCATGGCTGGAATTCAGACTCAAATGAGCGAAAGACCCACCTACACCCTAATCTACATCAGCCAGAGCACTCACGGTAGGCGCCGCCGCCACATGTACCAGAAGGCACATCGGTCCCGGGGACATTGGTATACCAGAACTCCTGTCAATGGAACAGGCATAGGTAGTCCTGTAATCACGAGGACTTACCAAAGATGACATGTCTACAGTGGTGTAAGATTCCCTTGGAAGGTGTGACGAGAACCAAGGGCGGCTCTGGATTACGACAACGAGGACTACTGCTACTCTGACCACGGCTGCCGCTGCCACTTGCACTATCACGCCGGCCATCGCCACGGGCTGTGCCCGCAGGAAAGCACTGGATGCAGCTGTATTTTCTCAGTGTCAGTGTGTGTCAGTGTGTCAGACAGTGTCTGCATGCGTGCGTGCATGTACGCAACATACGCAAAACATGAGCATAGCTCGTACTGGTTGCGTGTCCCAGCGACTTTGTTTTGCGGCTTCCCCTGTTCCCAGGGCCTCGCAGCCATGCCCAGAAGCGAATACGTGCAAGCGGATCTGGCTGACATCGGAGGCAGGATCCTCACAGAGAGGACAGACTCGGGCTCAACACTGAGTCACTGAGTGCCCCCCCCACCCGTTTAGCTGACCAAGTCGCACTGGTTGGGGCAGGGTACGTTTAGGGTCGTTTTGCTCACGCCTGTACTGAAGTAGTGATGAGAGAATGTGTAGCAGTGTAGAAGCTGTATGCTTGCTGTGAAAGTTAGCCTTGCGACAAACCACAAATCGAGGCTCAACGACGTCACCCACGTTGCATCTGAGTCGTCAGTCACATCCTACCAGCCTGCCGCTAAGGACATCCAAACTGTGGATGGTTCGGGAATATGTTCTACCTCCAGTAACGCTGGAATACAGCCGCCGCATCATCTGCGGCCTGGTATAGCGGATCATCGGGGTAACTGATAATTCTAACATCTATCTGTCTACCTGTCTATATCTACATTTCCAGGGACCATGGCTTTGGGGACCGTTTCTTATACATGATTGCCATCGGCGCCAAGTGGCAAGCGTGACCGTGCTCGCTTGCCCGAGCGCCCCTGCGAACGGCGGAAGTACCCAGCTCCGACCACGATGGGCTCCGAGGGCCGTTATGTCTAGAGTGCTACGGAGAAGTTTAACTAGCTCAACAATTACATGGCAACGTAGTGCATTGTCGCAGTACGGTCTTATGATACACTGCATGGTTATACCACTATAATTATTCATTACTATACAATGCTCGTTGTACATAAGCATAAGCTAAGCATGTCTGACTGCAAAGCCCAGCCTGAGTTCGCCAGCCGATTCAATGGGTCGGAGGCGTTCGTGATGTCCTCCACTCGCGCAGACATGCTGGCCATGCATGCTAAAATGCTCAACACCCACATATTGTGCCACGAGTCGACATAACACTTCGTCTCCATATGGTCAAGAACATGGATCACGGCCATACAAGTTGGGCATCTGCGCGGATCCTACAGCACGTTCGGGTCGCCCGCTCCTGAAGGGGAAGCACGGTCCAAACGTCCGGCGCCGAAGCTGTCAGCTGGTAGAAAGCGATCGAAACATTGATGTGCAACCTTGTTCCGATCCCGGCTCTGTTCACAGATTCGGTGGCCAGAAAAAATGGTCCCTGTCCTGGAACACGCTCACGCTCTCTCTCTCTCTCTCTCTCTCTCTCTCTCTCTCTCTCGCTCTCCCTCCCTCCCTCTGTCTCTCGCTCTCTCCCTCTGTCTCTCGCTCTCTCCCTCTGTCTCCCTCTCTCTCT